ATGACTAGCCAATTGAAGGTGGACAAATACCGAAACTACTGTGGATGGCCAATCATGGCGTGTATGGTTAGGGAGAGGAGTAGCAGAGGTATAAAAGGAGGGGCAGATGTCAATTCAGGGCTCCCGGCTAGATGCTGCTGTGTCAGCACGTGGGAGCCCGGATTCGAACTCAACATAAACTATCTTAATTCGGCTAATTGGCTTGGTGATCTTTTTTGGGGACTCGCTCCATTACAGAACCAAGAGTGTTGATTGTGGAGCCAAGCAAACCAAAGCTGTTAACAATCTCTTCACCATCTATCGTACGGCTGCCAGCTGACCCAGTGGTGAGAATATTTTGTTTTCTTGATGTTGAGCATCAATCCATATTGAAGGCTGCAGTTCCAGAACTTCTGTAGCAACTGCTTCAGGTCTGCCTCAATTTTAGCAAGCAGGTGTTTGTCATCTGTATAATATAAGCTTTTGATGACTCTTTCTCCAGTCCTGATGCCACATTCCGCCTCACTGAGCCGAGCCTCAAGGATGATCTGTTCTGCATATAGATTGAAAGGTATGGAGACAGAATACATTGCTGGTATACCCTCCCTTCCCAGTTTTGAACCATGCACCATCTCCTTGCTCTGTTCTGACAACTCCCTCCTGGTCCCAGTACAGGTTTTACATAAGCACAATCAAATACTCTGGGATTCCCATTCTTCTCAGAGTGAGTCACAGTGTATTGGGACCCACACAGTCAAACACCATTGCATAGTCAATACAACACAGGTAAACATTCCTCTGTTACTCTCTGTTCTCAGCCAAGAGCCACCTAACAGTAGCTGTAATATCTCTAGTATCACAGCCTTTTTGCAACTCAGCCTGCACATCTGGCAGTTCTCTGGAAAGGTACCGTTCCAGTCATTTAGGGACCATTTTCAGCAGAATCTTGCTTACATGTGATATTACTGATATTGTGCAATCATTTCCACACTCTGTTTGGTTGCCTTTATTTGGAATGGGAACAAATACAGATCTCTTCCAGTCAGTTGGCCAGGTGGGTGACCTCCAGGTTTCTTGGCACAACTTGGGTGTGCACATTCAGGGTAGGGTCTGTTTGTAGATATATGTTGTATGCCATTAGTGGCAAGGGTCTTTTTTTTCCAATTCTTTCAGAGCACCTTGAAACTCTTCCTTCATCACCACACGTTCTTACATAACTTGTTTCATTAAATTCTTCCGTGTCAGCCAAATCCTTTTGGCAATCTTCTTCTTAATGTCCCAAATGTTCCTTTTAGTTTTTATTTCATTGTGGTCTATTTTCTTCCCTTCCCCTCTTCACAAGCCATTCATCCCAGCAATGGACACATTTTACAAATATTTGTCATAGACATGAATTATTTTCATTGAGTGCCCATGGGTTGAGTTGAAAATTGGCACTAACTAAAAAAACATAATGGAAATGCTGTGTTTGCTTCAGCAGCATATACACTAAAATTGGAAGGATTATGTCCCGCTCCCAGGACTGGTCCATACTTGCTACAAGGTCAGAATAGGGAAGATGAGACCTCAGAAAGTGTGTGTTCAAAGATCATTCTGGTTTCACCCTCACCATAAAAATCATGTTTGTTCTCCTGGCAGTCCAGGGTATAGAGATCTCTTCCAGTCAGTTGGCTAGGGGGTTGACCTCCAGATTTCTTGGCACAACCCGGTGAGCACATCCAGGGTAGGGTCTCTAAGTAGAAATATGTCATTGGGTATGCCGACAGTTGCTGGGGTCTTCATTTTTTTGCCAATTCTTTCAGAGCAGCTTGAACTTCTTCCTTCATCACCACAGGCCCTTGGACATACCTCGTTTCAAGAAATTCTTCCATGTCAGCCAAATCCTTTTGTAAACTCCTCCTTTTACTGCTTCCTGAACATTGAATACTCTGCCAAAGCCATCCGTGAGTATTGCAACTTGAGGCTTGAATTTGTTCTTCAATTTCTTCAGCTTAACCAATGGTGAGCAAGTTCATCCCTTTTAATTTTCTGA